CCGGCCAACTCTTTGGTTGGCCACTTCACATTCAATGACAATGGGGTCGTCATGCGGCCCCCTAACACCTCCCAGATCCTCTTCTGTGATGACAATTTCTGGGAATGAACTCTTGGCGGTCCGTCCTTGGTGAACGAAATTAACATCTAGGAGTCTGATGTTGTCTTTGTTGCCCCTGATAGTGGGGCCGCCTCCTGAGAAGTCACCTACTATAGTGTAGACGATTGCTTCGTTAGTATCTGAACTGTCGGCCGGTCGATGATTCTTCTTGGCCAGCTGCTTTTGTTTTTGGGGAGCCTTCCCCTTGGACTTCTTGACATAGGAGTCAAGATCACCTTTTTCAACCAGGCGGTCCAGGTAGTGCATGAGGCTAATACACTCATTGGTTTCATGACCAATGTCTTCATGGAAATTACAGAATTTCTTTTGGTTCCGATTACTCGCAGAACCTTTCATGGGGGCCGGCTTCTCAATGGTCATCCGGCCTTGAATTTCTTTGAGGATAGCTTGGCTATCCTTATTGAACTCATACTTCAGGGAGTATGATTTAAACTCTTTTTTCTTTTTCTGGGACGGCTGATCAGAGGAGTCGGCCGCCCTAACTTCTTTTCTCTTCTTCTCATCTTTATTGGCCGACTACTTTGGTCGGCTCTCTTTTTTGTCGAACTTTCTTCCATCCGACTGCTTCCCAGTATTACACAGGTCAGTCGCCTGTATGTAGGCTTCCACCTCAATTAATGCTTCTTGGAGAGTAGCGACTCTCTTTCGGACCAGGTCAAACTTGAAGGTCGACCCATCCTTTAAACCTCTGAAGAAGTTAGTGTGGGCGACCTCATCCGGCAACCCTTGTATTTGGATTCTCATTAGGTTAAACCGCCTGATGTAGGAATGAAGTCCCTCCTTTTCTCCCTGCTATATAGTCCCTAGGTCAAGGGTCGTCTTCTTAGCAGGAATATTCATGGCGAAGTTAGAGGTGAACAAGTAGGCGAGGGTCTTGAAACTATTCACACAACCAGTCGGCAGGTTGCCGAACCACTGTTGTGCAATGCCCTTCAAAGTAGCTGGGAAGCACTTGCACCATGTGGGATCATCCAACCCTTGGAGGTACATAAGGTTGGTGAACGCCATCAGATGATCCTCTGGGTTAGTAGTGCCATCATAGGCGCCTACTAAGACATTCTTCACTTTGGCCGGCTAGGCGACCTCTATAATTTCCTTGGAGAAGGCGGACGGCTGTTCTCCAAGTCTTAGCAACCGTAGTTGCCAGTCCAAAGGTTGGACGTTTCTTGCCGCCTACCCTCCAAACAGAGGAGGCTGCAAGAAATATTGTTGTTGCGGCACGTATGGCTGGTGTGGCACATGCGGAGCCGACTGGTCTTTATGGGATCCGGACCGACGGGAGGTGCTGCATGTCTGACTTTCATAGTTTGATTGTGAATACCTTATGGAGGTATTGTGCAGACTGTCTTGAAAATCTGAAGTAGAGACCGACTCCGACAGTTGGTCACTCTTCTTCTGCTCTAGCAACAATCGAGCATCTGAGAACATTTTCTTTGACCCATCCGCTTGAACATGACGAATAGGCTTTCTTTTTCCTAGAGAGGGAAAACGATACTTTGTTAAGTCAATCACAGGCGGCTCCCACTTCCTAGACTTAGGGTGAGGAGTCACCGCCCGACCCTGTACAGGCTTCTTCCTCCCAGACTGAGAGGGTCTTCTAGCCGACTGCTCCTTGGATGGAGTAGGCGTCTTTTTATTAATGAGATCCTGGATCTCCCCTTTGAAGCTATTCATGAAAGTCATGAGTTCACTTCTAGTGATGGGAGCAGATCCCTCGACCGCCTGTTGATGATCAAGCGGCTAGCCGGCAGGTTTACTAGATCCAACCTGGCAATCCTTTCGTTCCTTCTTTTCAGAGGAACGAGTTCGTCGAGCTCGTAAGGTTTCGTCTGGGGTCGTATGAGTCTCAACCTCGACCTCATTGTCAGTATCCTGGTCACTATAGACCTGAGGGTCGTCCATCGGACGCTTCTCGCTCTGATTCGGTACAGACTGTGATTCCATCTCGAAAGTACTCTCCCCACAGACGCCGCCAAAATGTTTCGGGGTTTTCTGATGTCCTGCGGGAGAGTTACAATTCCGGGGCTGGTATCCTTGCTCCTGTACCTGCAAAACAACGGAGACTCCTTGTGGTGGGAGTTCTGCCTCCGACGATCAAGTTAGAACGTGTATAAGTGAATAGTGCGGAAAAGTAAAGGTTGGGAGATCTGGTTCCTCTAGGTGAGGAGTGATCTAAGTGTTTAGGTGAGTGTAATTAATCTTCTTAACCCCCATTAATGAGGATTAATGAAGTATTTATATGCCTTGGGATGCGTGCCAGTCCTAGGTTTAGGTCAACCTAGGGATGATTGGGCTTCCACAAGGCTTTAGGCCTAGGTGGCCGGTTTTCCCATTTGGCATGGGGGAGGTCACGTGTCGTAGCATAAGAGGTCCAAGGTGGACCTATCAACACTTGACACGTGGCAGGCTCTAATTGGTCCATGCGGCGGATACTTGGCAGAGCCTGAATGGTCCACTTGTCAGATAGTGATTGGTAGGGAAAAATCCCCTAATCACATACCTTAAAATAAAGAGGAGCTCTAAAAGTCTTCCTAAATCATAAAATTCTATAAATCCCTTCTTTTTGCAAGTTTATAAAAGAGAGAAAGAAAAAATAATGTGTGATTGAAAAACAAAAAGGACTATGCTTATATTGTATGAAGTTGGAGGAAATAAGGTTGGTCTGAACCCGATATTTGAATGTGTAGTGGGATTAGGATTTGTTATACTTTTGTGCACCACATTCCCAAATAACGTCGTCCAACCCTCTATTAATCATGCTTACCCTTTTTGGATTTCATGATTTTAGCAACTGCATCAATCTTTGAAAGTGGAGAAAGTCACATTGCAAGTCTAAAGAGGATAATTCATGTGAAGTTGACATGCATTTTATGCCTAGATTGAGTGATCTCATATTTCACCCCGTAAATACATGAGCGTTTATTGCTTTTATTTTTCATAACTAAAGTGAAAGCTATTCATGTTTGTGTGAGTTGGTTTGGGGAGATGTGTGGTAAGATGCTTGTCGATTCCAAGTATGAGAGGTTTATGGTGGTTATACGCACATTGATTCTAATTTTTGCTTCCCTATTGATTTCAAATGATGGCACATTATGATGATTTGAGAAGTTGTCTTGCTCTTCCTTTGTGATTCATGGTCGAATGCTTGAGGACAAGCATTAGTTTAGCTTGGGGGAGTTTGATAAGCCGTGTTTTGTGCATAATTGTTAGCCTCTTTTTAGTTGTTCTTATTAGTCTAGCTTAGTATTTTAGTTCATTTTGGTTTGATTTGGTTTAGTTTCGATGATTCGATGCTTTTATGGGTAGTTTCGTTGTTTTTGATGTATTTCAGGATTAACGAAGCTAATTTAGAGATTTTATGAAGTCATGAGACTAAACCGAGGCCCACGGACCTTCACGAAGCTCGTTGGTCGAAGAACAAGTCACTTAGGCCTTTTTGGAGTCAAGCACGGCCATGTTTAAGAGAGGCACGCCCATGCCCAGCTTAGGCACGTCCGTGCCTGAGCCTCAGAAACTGAGGGAAATTCTCTGGAATGAGACACGTCTGTGTCTCATAGAGGCACATCCGTGTCTCTGCTACTGCCTTCGAATCTGCATATGAGGCACATCCGTGCCCAATATAGGCACGTCCGTGCCTGGAGTCCAGAAGATGAGAAGAACCTTACTCGAAGTAAGGCACGTCCGTGCCTCTTAGGAGGGTTATGCACTGAATTTTCTTACGTTTTCTTATCTTTTTGTTGGGAGTATAAATACCCCAGACTTTATTATATTTCAAGATCGAGCATTCCTTATTAGACCTAGTTTTCTCTAGAACTTTTACGTTGCTTTTGTAATTCAAGATTCAAGTTCTACTTTTGAAATCTCCATTTATTTCAAGATTTGGTATTTTCCTTTCATCCCTTATTTCTTAATTATGTTTTCTTTGATTATTTTTACTATTTCTTATTTCAATATGTGTGAGTAGTTTTTATATTCCAAGATCTAGGGTAGCCCAATTGTGATTGATGCATGAATTGATTCTATAAATTCTCTAATGACAATTGCGATTATTTATGCTAATTTGATTGTGATTATGCCAATACTAGATTAGAGATAATTAGTATTGTTATTATTCCCTAGTTTAAATACAACGAGAGTTGGGTTTTAACGGATTTGAATAGATCAATTTAGGGTTTGAGATTCGTCACGAGAGTAGTTAAATTGATAATTGGGAAGCGAAGTAAAGTGTTTAATGTCTCTAATTTGCATGATTCCATGAGAATAGGCTTGATTGTGGTTAGAGAGGCCATTGATACTCGAGAGAGGTCCTTGGCATTGATTATGGTTTGCTTTTCCCCATATTAATTGGATTTGTATGCTAGGGGTAGATAGATAATTGCATCGATCGTAATTGTGGTGATACTTGATCTTGGATGTTTTAGTTTATTAATTTATCACATCCTTTAGATTTATTGAGCTCTTTATATATTAGTTCTTAGAATATTTCACCATTGATTGTTACTTGCTTAGTGATAATTATTTGAGTCTATTTAATTAGGTGAACCTTAGTCTTTTGGGATTCGATCCTTACTTGTCCGTCTACATAGTTGTGGTCTCGTTAGGTTATTTTTGTTAGGTACGCGACACGCCTATCAAAATTTTGGCGCCGTTGCCGGGGACTAACGGTTTCTTTCTGATTAATTGTGATTCGTTTTCCCTAAGCCTTATTCGCTGCTTCGGCTATTGTCTCTTGTGTTTTTGATACTTTACTTTTAGTTCTTTGTTGCATGCAAAGTCGACATTCAAGGTCAGATGATTTAGCACCTTTTGACTCTGAAATTGAAGCGACTATAAGGAGACGAAGAGGTAGAATAAGAAGGGGAAATCAAAACAATAGAAACATGGAAGACGACACGAAATCTTTATTGGAGTACGGCATTCCCGATACCGCAACCGGGCTTCTATCCAGCATTGTCAGACCACCTATTACCGCTCAGAGCTTTGAATTAAAACCTCAATTCATACAGTTCATCTCCAATGACTCATTTGTAGGCACACCTCATGAATGCCCTGTTAGTCACATAGACAGTTTCTTGGAGAAGTGTGACACCATAAAGCTCAACGGTGTTACTGATGATGCTATCAGACTTTGTTTGTTCCCTTTTTCACTACGGGATAGAGCGAAGGAATGGTTACGAGACGAAGGTATAGGTTCCTTTGATACATGGGATAAGCTTGCCAAAGCTTTCTTAGTAAGATTTTTAGGGCAAGAGAAGACTACAAGGTTAAGGAACGAGCTAGCTACCTTTCGTCAATCTGATGATGAGTCTTTATATGAGGCATGGAGAAGATTCAAGCGCTTACAGAGACAATGCCCTCATCACGATATCCCAGAGTGGATGTTGATCCAAACATTCTACAATGGTCTGACCCATGAGTTCCGCATATACATTGATGCTGCATCCGGGGGTTCCCTCATGACTAAGAACCCAACTGAAGCCAAAGAGCTAATTGAGAAGATGGCAGCCAATAATAATTATCATCTAGGAGGTCGACATAGTGTGAAGAAGGGAGGTAAATTAGATGTTGATGCTCTAACTCTTTTGACTAGCTCTATGCAGGCATTGACAAGCAAGTTTGACAGACTCCAAGCCGGAACATCTACTAGCTCACCGGAGACCTGTAAGATGTGTAATATGCAAGGTCACATTGCACCTAATTGCCCCAAAAATTCCAGTGAGATGTCAATTGAGGAGGCCAATGCTTTCTACACCTCTAATCCTAAAAGGCCGTATGATCCTTATTCAAACACATACAATGAAGGGTGGAGAAATCATCCGGACTTCTCTTATATGAACACTCAAGCTCAATTGAATTCTCCGTCGCCACCACCTAGTTTTCAAGCAAGGGCATCTTTTAATCACCAACCCATAAATCAACAACTGCCACCACAAACTTCAAAATACAATCTTAATTCCATTATGGAGACTTTCACTACTTCCCAACTTCGACAGCAAGAGCTTATGACAAAGCAATTTGAGCTACAAGCAAAGCAAAATGAACACTTTGAAAGCTCGATTCAAATGCTTATTGCTCAAAATAAGAGGATAGAAACTCACCTTTCTCAACTTTCACAACAAGTGAGTCATTTATCAACTCTTCATGATCAAGCAAAAGTCCAAAAGGAACAATGCAATGCAGTTTTCTTGAGAAGAGATGAATTATTTTCGAGAAAAATAGATGAGAAAGTGTGCAGTGTGGAGTCAAGAAAAGATAAAAAGTGTGAGGATGTAAAAAGTCCCAAATATGTTGCTCCACTGGCCTATGAGGAACCGATGCCCTTCCCGCAAAGGTTGTCAAAAGCCGTGCTCGATAAACATTTTGGAAAATATTGCGAGACTCTTAAAAAGGTACATGCTTCCATTCCTTTTTCTGATCTTTTAATTTAAATGCCTCAATTTGCAAAATTTTTGAAGAAAATTAAAGATCGACATGATGATAGGGAAGTAGTAAATGAGAAATTCTCTACTCTTTTACGTGATAGCCTACCACCTAAGCTGCATGATCCTGGTAGTTTTACTATTCCCTGTATGATAAACGAAATATTTTTTGACAGGGTCTTGTGTGATTTAGGTGCTAGTGTAAATTTAATGCCTTATTCATTATATGAAAAATTAGGTTTGCAAAAACTTAAACCTTCCCCTATTTCTCTTCAAATGGTTGATAGGACTGCTAGACTCCCTAAAGGTGTGGTTGAGGATGTATTAGTTAAGGTTGGTGAACTTGTTTTTCCTGTTGATTTTGTTGTTATGGATATGAAAGAAGACCATAAGATCCCGATTATATTTGGTCGCCCATTCCTTGCCACAAGTCAAGCTCTAATAGATGTTCCTAAAAGACAAGTGACCATTAGGGCCCAGGATAAACAAGTAGTGTTTAAGCTCTTTAATGAACATAATTTTATATTTGATGGTGATACTTGTTTAAGAATTGATGCTACTAACCCTTTGGCTGATAAGTGTGTATGTGATAGAAATCTTGTGAGAAACAGGACAATATTCCACCAAATGATGTGTTTAGCTACATGAAAGTAAGTTCGGATACAAAGCATGTCAAATATAAAATCAAGGAGTCATTTAGAGGCGGATATTTTTATGGGCAACATCGCGGAGTTTCTTCTTTGTGTGGTGACCCAGGTTGAGCTAATAAAGAAGGTCAAGCTTAAGACCTTAAACAAGCGCGAATGGGAGGCAACCCATTCCTTTTTTTTTTTTTTTTTGCCTTTTACTTTTTTTATTTTCCTGTTTTGTTAGTGTTTAGAAAACAAGCAAACAAAAAGGTCATCTCCGCCCCGAGGTATGATTTTCCCCCTCCCGATCAGTAGACCTGTTTCCCTCTCCCCTTGTCCATTTTACACTGATTTATGCATACATTGAGGACAATGTATGGTTTAGCTTGGGGGAGGGTTCATTTTTCACCATGTATATATTAGTTTTTTTTTAGTGTTTGGTTAGTTTTTCTTTCTTATTAGTGTCTTTGATATGCCTTTACACACTTATGCTTCTATGATAATAATCATACATGTGTGCTTTGTGAAAAGTTTTTTTTTCGAAAACCCATTTACCAATTTGCTTGGAATTGAGTAGGTTTGTGGCTAGGATGGTCTCCCCGCTCTACTTATGTGAATAGTTTGTGTACCTGGTGAGATTTTTTAGCCATATTTGACTGATTTCATTCTAACTCAATCGTACTTTTTCATGTGTGATTAGTTGTCTTTCATGTAATTGAATTCTTGGCTTTGCTCTTTGACTATTTGAGACTTGAATGATGCATGTTGCGGAAAAGTGATTGAAATTTCTCTTGTAGAGAATAGAGCCTCAGCATTCTAGGTCCGCATAAATTTTATTTTTATTTTTGCATTCACCCGTAGGTTGAGCCACTTTGAGCCGTGTTTTCCCTTTTCTTGATACCCTACATTTAAAGCCATAAAGCCGTTTTTGTAGGTTTCTTTAGAAGGAGCATTACACTTGTTTAAGCCCTATGAGTGACTTGTGAAAAAAAAAACAAAAAGTTGAGTGTTATTGAAAAGAAAAAAAATAAAGAACAGAAAAGAAAGAAAAGGAAGAGGAAGAAAAAAAAAACAGTTTTAAAATTCCATATATCCATACCTCAAAACAAAGAGGAGTTCTAAAATTCATCCTAAATCATAAAATGCTATAAATCCCTTCTTTTTGCAAGTTTATAAAAGAGAGAGAGAGAAAAAAATGTGTGATTGAAAAAAAAAAAAGGGCTATGCTTATATTGTATGAAGTTGGAGGAAATAATGTTGGTCTGAACCCGATATTTGAGTGTGTAGTGTGACAAGCGCACATTAGGGCGCGCTTTAAGGCATATAAATGGGTGATTTTGGATGTATTTAGGCCCGTTTTGGTCGTTTGTTGCCTTGTTACACTCGTTTCCTTCATATTACGTGCTTCACGGGTTTCGGTCTGTTTTTGGTGTGTTAACAGGTATAGTTGACCAAGTTATGTCGAGTCCCGAACCATTGGTGCGTAATCAGGCTATTATCGATCCTAGTCCACCAAGCTAAGGCTTTGCTGCGGTTCTCAAGGCCTTGAAAGGCAAGTTAAGTAGCAGGCAAGGAAGAACAGTTCACAAATATGACACCTGTTCACTATTTTGCTCACAACTTTCGGTATACAAATGATAATGGAGTGATTCTAATTGCATTAGAAAGTATACTTGAAGAGCTTTCCAACGATATATTGCACGCCTCAAACGGAGCTCTGGATAAGAAGTTGTGACTGTTTTAAGAAGACCAAAGTGCCTGCAACCTTCCTGCCTATGCTGCACGGCCGTGCCACTTTTAGCACGGCCGTGCCAGGCATTAGCACGGCCGTGCCAAGCCAATTTCCATGCCCGTGCCAGTGCCAGATTTAGCACGGCCGTGCCAGATTCAGCACGGCCGTGCCAGGCATTAGCACGGCCGTGCCAGATTCAGCACGGCCGTGCCAGGCATTAGCACGGCCGTGCCAAATTCAGCACGGCCGTGCCATAATTGAAGATATTGCGGATCAGCTACTGCCATGCTTGCACGGCCGTTCCACTTCCAGCACGGCCGTGCCGATTCACGAAGGGCAGCCTGCGATTTACTTTCCGATTTAAAACATATATATATAGCCCGATTGTAAGGGTTAACAGACAGTTTTTTAGAGATAGTTTTTGAGAGCCTTTGTAGAGAGTTATTGGAGAACGTTCTTAGTTTTAGATATTCATTAGTTTTCTTAGAGATTATTCTAGCGATTTTAGTTTTCTTGGATTGATTTGAAGCAAGATTTGTGAAGATTCTTTGTATTATTCATTGACGACGGATATCAAAGTTCTGAACTTTTCCATTGATTCGCATCAATACAATTGGTATTATTCATTCTTGTTTATTAATCAAGCTTTATTATTCCTTAATCAGAATTCATGTTTATATCTATTATGCTTTTGGAATTCATTATTGCTTTGATTATGAATATGTGTGAGTAGTCTCCTAGCTAGGGTTTCGGGATGAAACCCGGCCTAGGTAATCTATGTAATTGAGGATTGATTTTGATAAACGGATTGTGATTAAATTAATTATATGCGATTGCATGTTAATTCATTATAATAGGAGTAGCTAACCTAGAATCTTGAATTTGATTGCATGATATCCTTGATTTGAACAAGAGATTGTGAATTAAGTATTTCATTATTGAATGTGGTTTGATTATGTATCGAGTAATGTTAAGTGCATGAGAAATCCAAGCTTAGTATTGCCCGTTGTCTTCCTATCACATGATATTGATCAGACATATAGTCTTTGCATATCCCGTTTGTCTCTGTGATTCCTTGTTGCGTAGTTACCGATGGTTTGGTGAATTCCTGTTCTCCCTAGTGTCTTAGTTTATTGATTTATTCCATCTTATTAGTAGTATTTTAGAACACCATTTTCCATTGATTTCGAACTAGCTTAGGTTTAAGATTGATTTGCAATTACTCTCGTTCCTCGTGGACCGAACCTTTATTTGCCATTGTACTTGGTTATAGGGTGTTCGTATAAGTATTGTTTGATTGAGAGTTAGATTGTAGCGACCGATTTAACCCTCGTCAAAATGGCGCCGTTGCCGGGGAACGGTGTTTGTTAATTGCTTTTTGATTTATTGAGTCTAGTTCATCATAAAAAAGCACAAAAAGATTTTTTCCCTTTTGGCTACACTTGTAGCCCTGCTATTTAATTGGTTTGGTTAGTGTGTATGCGCAGGTCTAAACAGAGAGAATTAATACCCTTCGATCCAGAAATCGAAAGAACTTTGAAGAGCAATCGTAAATCTCGATTGACGTCATCAAACTCTCAAGGAAAGGAACACAACACACAACAGGTTCCAATGGAAGACATACCGCGCCAACCCAATCGGCCAGCACCACGACCCCTTAAGGAGTTGGGAACTCCTGGGGCGTATAGAGCTTCAAGTGGGATTGCTCCACCCACTACTGAGGCCAATGATTTCGAGATCCGGCCGGCTATGATCACCCTCATCGAGAGAAGGCAGTTTAGTGGTGCCAAGCATGAGAGCCCTTTGGCTCATTTAAACGAATTTGAGAAGTACTGCAATACCATCAAGGTTAATGGGGTGAATCAAGAGTTCGTGAGATTGAAGCTTTTCCCCTTTTCACTTATTGGGAGAGCTCTCGAATGGTTAGAGAAGGAGGTGAAGCCGAACTCTCTACACACTTGGGATGATGTCACGACAGCATTCTTGGGAAGATTTTATTCCCAAAAGAAGACGGCCGATGCTAGAGCTTTGATCCAGGGATTTCGGCAAAGGAGTGGGGAGTCAATCTACGAAGCATGGGAAAGGTACAAGGAGTATCAAAGAGAGTGCCCACACCACGGAATCCCAACATATCAAGTTTTACAGATTTTCTATGGAGGATTGAGTCCTCAAGGGAAGACCAGTTTGGATGCGGGAGCAGGTGGCCCCATTATGAACAAAACCGAAGAAGAAGTCATTGATATCATAGAAGATGTGGTACGACACCACATGGATTGGCAAGATGGAGAGCGAGAGGCCATGAGCAAGAATGGAGGAGCGGTCTATTCAGTGGACCACCTCAATGCCATTAGCAACCTGACATCACAAATTACGAACCTCGGGAAGGAGATGTCAGTGACTAAAGCCAAGCTCGATTCCGTGCCATTGCAAGATCTTCCCTCCCAATCTAAGGGGAGAGGTATGAATCCTAATCATTCTGTTTCTAATATGCTTGTAGGATGTATTTTCTGTGAAAACTGTGGGTCTTATGATCATTATAAATGCTTGTAATTTTGATCCCTCATATGATCCTAATAATAATGATGGTAATAGATATAATAATGAACAGGTCAATGCTATGTCTTATGATAACGGACCTAGGAATGACAATAATAGATATCTGCCACCTAATCAAAGAGGGAACAATTATAATCAGGGAGGTAATGATTTTGATTATCAAAACCAGTGGGGAAATAGGGGCCAAAGGGACCAAAATTCCCAAGGACCCTATAATCAACATGGTGGTTTTGGAAATCAAAACCAATACCAACAGGGTAATCAAATGAATCATAATTCCCAAGGGCAATTCAATCAAGGGGGAACGGCATTAATAACAGGGGAAACTGGAATAATAATAAGGGGTACTCTAATCAAAATCCCCAACAATCTAATGTGCGTGGTTCCCGAGCTACAAATGATAATTATTATGCTCAAGGACCACCACAGAGATCTAGCTTGGAGGAAATGATGGAGTCCCAGGCCAAAATGTTCAACACTTTTATGTCCACCACTGATAAAAAGTTTAGTGAAGTGATGACACATAATAAGATGCTTGAAACCCAGATTTCTCAGTTGGCTAGTGCTATAAACGATGGGGTTGGAGTTTCAAAACTACCGCCTCAAGGTATTGACCCTAAAAATTCTGTGAATGCTATCACCACTAGGAGTGGAAAGACTTTGATAGGGAGCGATAATGTAATACCACCAAAGAGTCAACCTGTGACTCCACCTATCACTGATAATGTTGT